GAAAAATTCTCGCTTGGGAATTGCCGTAGAGTGCTAACACTCTAGTTGCTCTACTCTAGAGTGCCTACATACAGTCTTTACTTTACTTAGATACACGGCTGTGAATTATTGTTTTTTCGGCGGCGATCTGCTCGCAGGGCAAGCTAGGACGTAGGCACATAACAGGGCGTACATACGTGCTTTAGAGAAGAGCAGAGCAGGGGGCGATTTAACATTTCAAATACACCGGCGTATCGCATTATGCCCACCACACCGAGCGAAGCGATGGTGGTACGGGACCGTTTCACGATCGAAAAGTGGTCTAGGTGGGTTGGCAGGCTTGGGTTTGGGTGGCGACTAGGGAAAGGGTGGTATCCGGAGGGAGGAAGAAGCCGGAGGCCTAGGAAGAAGGGGACTTTTCTTGTCCTCCCTCCATAGTGATACTCCTCCTACATGCCAACATCTATCTCATCTGGGGAGTGTTACCGGGTTCGCGGTTACGGGCGGCTGGATGTACATTTGGTGGATGCTGATGACTGTGGGTGTACGATCTGGACGTGGATTGAAGGATCGTGGGTCCTTCAAACTTGCAAAGGGATGTGTACTCTACATGATGTATGTACATGTAGAAGCTACATTACTTACATGCTCTACCTTATAATCTTTACTGACGTTTTGCCTTTGATCTGAGTGTAATATGTACATGCAGTCTGAGGATTTGCACGTACAGCAAGGAGAGACAGCTATCTGTACGAAGTACATCATTGTGAATCATTGAATTTTTTTCAGTTTTGAATTGGAATGGATGACATTGCTTACAGTTGTCCGAGCCCGTACAGCAGTACATTCTACAATCCCTGGCTGCACAGAAACCTTTTTTGCAGTCCGGTGGATCAATACATCCAAGGTACAAGGCTAGGGGTCTCCCTCTGGGTTTCTCCGTTTGATGTACTCGAAATATCCAAGGTACATACATGCATACACCCTATTTTACTCTACTCTACCTTGAATCGTTCAATCTGCTGCTGCTGTGCATACAGTACTGTACTTTTGTGGCACCCGCGAAACACTGGAGGTTGAAAGTGGCTAGTACGAGTACAGATGTTTAACAGGAGTGTGTTACACAGGTGGCTAACGACACTCTCGATAGCAGCGCCAATCAACATCCTCTCTCCCCTCTGTCTCTAAATTCCCTGCCACCTCTACACACCATCCCTGTCCCCTCACCAATTGAAAGATTGACATCCATCCATAGAACAGGAGGCGCAGAGCCTCTCTTTCTCTATCACAGGTCAATTACTATTCACACCGAGGGGTAAACAGCGAGTGAGGGACTATGCATCAAATCCTCCTTCATCCTTGAAGCCAGCCCCGGGGCTGCGGGGTCGATAGGGACTCGGCCAACCCTGACTGACAGCTGTTTTCCCTGGCATCCCCCACCCCCCGGCGGTCTTTCCTTGGCAGCATACAACGGCTGATTCCTGTGCATGACGTGGCCAAGAGAAGACTTATGTCGGGGCGGTGAGCGAGAAGAGAGCAGCTAGGTAAGGTAGGAGGCAGATAGAATATGTGCAGCAAGCAAGCAGCAGGATTGAAGGAATGCTTATCAACGCGAATATTCAGCTATCAGGACAGCGAGAAGCAGTAGTGGCTTCACTTTTATCTATGGTTTGGGTTTGAGAGAATATTGTAAGCAGGCATTATTTCTCGAGAGGAAGCTTCAACTTCCGAAATTTCTCGCTTCACGTACCTTGCTAGGCCAATGCAAACCCCAGGAATACGAATTTAAACGACATTAGTCGCAATTGAAACTCACCGCTGGATTCCATCTGTCCATCCACCCACACTCCCAGTGCACTACCATGCTCAGGTACCTACCTCTCTATGTGGGTGTGTACCACTCTATGCTACCTATGGGTTGCTTAAGGCCAAGCAATTAACTGTGCTTTACTACACATGCATCTGTTCTTTGAAGATCATAGGCAGTCAAAGTCTGTGCGGCGAATCGTTTGTGCAAGGCACAATCATTTACATCAGCTCGCAGTGTGATTGGCGAGGACCTTGATGTTCTTCCGATAGAAGAGTACGCAGGTGTACGTATGGAGAAGAGAAGGGGGCAGCAAGTAAATCAAATTAAAGCCTGACTGACAAATTGTGGAACTGATTGACAGCAGTAGAGATAATAAAAAAAAGGGCCTACAGATATCACCAACCAAACCCATCATCATCATCATCATCAATACCTTTCTTGGAGTGGGTACCTTAGGTACTCTATTGCTGGAATAACTCACGTCCCTCGAACAAGCTTGGTTTCTGGTTGCAGGATAGAAAGTCCGTGTGTACGACTAAAAATAATGTAGGTCGGTAGACGAAAAGGCGAACCAGACGAACCAGGGAAGAGGTTTGTTGGTGGGAGATAAGAGATTATCTGCTCTACCGCTATGTATGCGACCAAAGTAGTCCCGGGAGAAGCCCGCGGCCCGTTGCTCCTTCTCCTTCTTCCTCCTTTCCCCAGTTGCATCTAGCAGGAGTAGTACCATACCTGATTGCAACCAAACGGCCGCCGTCTCGTCTTAATTTCGTCTCGTCACAAAACGCATGAGGATGAAAAAAAAAAGAGATGAATGAAATTAGATGGAAGGCCCGTAAAGTAAGCATCTGGAATAGGAAACAGGGGGGGGAAAATTGCAGCAAATCACTAATTGAATCACACCAAATTCCGGCAAAATGGGCTTGAGTTGGTAAGAATGGGATAGAGAAAAGAGAATTGCATGCCAGCGTGGCCAGGCTCAGCTACCTACCTATGCGTACCGTATGTATAAATTATTTTCAATAAACGCGAAAAGAGAAGGGGTAGAGAGAGGGGCAGAGAAAAAAAGGGTCAAGGATGAGGCAGAGATAAACATGACGGGAAAAAAACATCTTAGTTTATTATGTACCCAGCCCGAATGAAACGTGCGCGCGACAAAAAAGGGTTAGAGTTACCGCCTAGGGGAGGATGATGAGTGACTAGGCCAGGGAAACGTGCCAATTCAAGCGATACCATGACTTATTGGGGCAATATCAGCTTCTCGTTCTTCATCTTCATTTGTGGGGCTTCTTCTTCACTCTGCGCTCATCGACTTCATCCAAACACCACGCCGGGGAAACGGCTTTCATCCTCTGGAAGAAATGTCACCCCCTTCGTGCCTTTACTTTGCATCTACATCTACATGAGGATATTTTTGCGTCGAGCTGATATGCACGGCGACATGGACCTTGGAGGGACCGTATTATCATCATACATACAACAGGGAGGTCAATGCGAGGGCAATTGTTTCGAGGGGGATTTATGGTACATTAGTGGTGGATTCACACTCCGTGATACATGTACTATCTTCCATCAGGTCTGTCCCACATCCGGGAGAAGCAGGAACTTGAAGGGGGGGGGGTGGTTTCGGTGATATATCATTGTTGGCATAGTAATTTTGCAAGGCCGCCCTACGTCTGTGGGCCTGAATTCCAGCATACTTACTGCTAACATGATGGGTTCGGACGGAAGAGGCGGGTGGTTTTTCTGAGGGTGTGTAGAATAGGTAGATTTTCTAGCTTTTGGGGGCGGGTTCTTTCGGGCATTTTTGTAGTTATCTCCGGCGGGGGGTGCTGGTGCTGGTGGAGGGAAGCTTGGAGGAAGAGGATGAGGATGGAAAGGGGGGGGGGTATGTACATCCTCGCTCAGATCATTGGTCCTTGCGGTAATTGAGCAGTGTTCGGATCTGGATTGGTGGTGGATCAGCTTATGTATGTACTTTGCTCACACGTGCACTATACTTGCTTTCAACCACCATGAGCAAAAACATGCCTTTTGGTTTATTTCTGGTGGTGGCTCCAAGCCGGGGAAAATAGAGGGCTACTGAACTGTAGGTGCCCTACCATCTAGATAGCTAGCTAGTCGGCTCTTTTCTGAGGTGACGGACGATAATGCACGTTGTTTAATTTTCTTTTTTGTTTCCATTCGTTTCTGTACATGTGCAATCGAGTGACGTGGGGTGATTCGAGCATGAGGTAGGTACGGGTTCCAAGAGTATGTACGGTTTTTTCCCCACCGGTATGTATACCGGTACCGGTACGGTACTCCACCATCTCCACCACCATAGCTACAGCCCCTCCATTCCTTTACGGAATATTCCTTGGAGGCCAATCTGTGTCTCACCCACCTGATCTAGTGGCGAACCTTTTTGAGTATGAGCTTGAGCTTATTGTAGGAATATCAAAGCATCAACAGAGGGGTTGATCTGATGGTGCGAGGGGATCTGCGGAATATCAGTCACTCAATCTGTGAGACAATCTATCGAGAGGTTTGGTTTGTGTAAGGTAGATGGTTAGGAATCGATGGGGATGATTGGAAATAGAGTTGAGTCCGTGGGTTTCGAAAAAAAAGTGGTATTCTTTATTCTTTCGAATTCTCTAGAGTAGGCGCTACCGATACACACATTGAAACAGAAACGGATAAAAAGAAAAGAAAATATGATACAGAAAAAGAAAAGAAAAACAAGAACCAGATCTCATAAAGAAGAAAAGGAGGGGAAAAAAAGAAAGGAAAATATATACATCAGAAAAATAAGTAAAGAAAGCCTTTTTTTATCATCATCGTCAGATCATCAAAAATCGTTTTTTCATCCCATCCCATCCCGTAGTACATCTAGAGCATTGTAAAAGAAACGTTTCCAACCTTCAACTTCCGCCAGCAGGAGCCGTCCGTGGTCGCTGTGAGTTTTTTTTTGTGTGTGTGGAGTATATTGCGCCGCCACCCCCCCCCCCCCATCTCTCCCGGATCCCCCCCATCGCCCCAATCCCGTAAACAAATAAACTCCTGTAGTTTTTGCTTTTTTCAAAAATCAAAATGACAAAAGAAATGTAGTTTTCGTAAAGGAATGTACTCTGTGTAGAGAGATTATGTTTATAAGCCACCCGTTGTAACATAGGAAAAGTAAAAAAAATAAAAGAAAATAGGTTTTAAGAGAATCGATTGGGTCGCCAATCTATAGGCTCCCCTTCCTCGACCCATCCTCAGACGAACCAAACTCGAAACCCTCATCCTCAGCCGGATACGGGAATGAGCAGGTTGATGCGCCATTTTGCAGCCAGAACATCGACGCCGGGTATAGCCTCGAGCTGGGGTTTACATGGCAGCTTGCGCACAGCGGCACATACGGTGATGTTGGCGCGGTTGTGGTGGGCGACGGGTGCTGTGTGGGTGGGTCATAGGTGTCTGCGAAGCGGTTCCCCCATGGCTGTAGCATGAACGAGGAGTCGGGGGTGTCGTCAAAATGCGCCGAGGGGGCTTCGGGCGACTTGTGGTAGAAGAAGTTTGACGAGAAGTAGCTTTCGCTGTTTTCAGACTTGATCTGCAAAAAGGTGCCTGTTAGCTTAATTACAATTTCGGGGGTGTCTAATGAACATGGAGAACGTACGAATTGTAGCCTGGGGTCGAGCTTGTCATCGTCTGAGGCAATGTTGAAGAGTGGTGAAGGTGGGAGCGAGTTTGGTGAGCTCGCGACACTGCTATCGGCGGAGGAGGAGGAGCTGGAGGTGTTGATCATGGCAGGGGAGCGAAGGGGAGTCTCGAGCCCGTCGATGCTGCTGCTGATTGATGGGCGCTGCTTCTGGCGGGAGAGGAATGCGTTTGAGGCCTTTCCTCTCTTCTTCTGTTCGCGCTTGTATTCACAGTCGAGGCCAAATACTGGGTTGTGTTAGTTGAAGTATTCTTTAGGCCTGAAGCTACGAATCAACTCACCAACACAGTGTTCGCAGGGTGTCTGGCCGTCGCATTTTGTGCGCAACTGGTTGCAGCGGTCGCAAGCGCGCGAGACTCGCTGTCTTGTTGCTGTGGACTTCCTTGAGCCGATTCTTGAGCTTGTGGTGTGGTGGAGGGAAATCATATTTGCGGTGGTAATGATGGTTGTAGGAGTTTTGATGATGTAGTCTTTGATGGCGTTGATGATGATGATGTAGTTAGATGAGAGTTATAGGCAGGTAGTAGTGTTGATAGTAGTGGTGGTAGTGATAGTAGTGATAGTGGTAATGATAGTAGTGATAGTAGTAGTAGTAGTAGTAGTAGTAGTAGTAGTAGCAATAGTACTAGTGACAATAGTAGTGGTAGCGTGGATCTTGAGAATACACGATGGATCGATGATTGATGATTCTTTTTTCTTTCGTTTCGGCGGGCTGTCGTCCACAAGATATATCCACGAAGAATCCATTAGACGAGGCGCTAGTAATTAATTAAATGAGGTATGATATATCGAACAACATGCACGTAGCTAACAAGTAGGTAAGCAAGCAAGGTTGGGTTCGACAAGAAAATGCCTAGCACTCGCTCATTCTCTCTGCGAACCGTACGTAATCTGTCTGGCGTTCACAATACGTCTAGGGGAGATGCCGACGGGCCCCACCATGTCTTCCTGCATGTAGGTGCAGAGAGACCATGGCCTGTCTCGTATCACTTCGATAAGGTGGTGGCCGTGGGTTTAGAAAGCGGTTAGTGCAGTAATCTGAGGGCAGCCTTTGTAGGCCTAGTTTGTCGCTCTTTATTTTTTTTATTTTCTATCATATGTACGTATGGCTCACAGCTTGATGGCTTTCAGAATTCTCGCTCATGTTCCCACCCAGGTACCGGAATACAGCTAGAAAAAGAAAAAAGGAACGAAAATTGGGAGCATGGAAGTCCCCAGGAAGAGAATGCTTAAGGGGCGGTGGCTTTTTTTCGCAGAGCAAAGAAAAGAAAAGAAAAAATACTAAAAAAATAAAATACAAAAATGTCTCTACTGCTGTTGTAGCTCTACCTAGCTAGCTAGTATTCGGGAACAATAGCTTGTACAATTTTTTTCGCAGGAAATAAGAAAAAAACGTACCCATTTTTCTACGCAACGTGAGTCCCAGCTATTGGGTCCCCACCACTACATACGTCCCGCCACGACCAAACAGAATAAGGCCACAGAGGTAGGGGAAGAACAGATGATTCCCTCAGCTCATCATCATCCTTGGAACCAGATTTTTTTTTCTCCCCCTTCCCTGATGGTATTTTGCTCCGTCCGTACTTTGAAAGTGAAAATCTGGCTCGAGCTAACCCCTTCCTAATTCTTGATGCATATTGCGTTTTGGAGTGTTGTCTCCAAGGGGGGAACTTACTCGTGAGAAGGCAAAAAAAAAAAAAAAAGAATAGTATAGAAAAAAATAGGTTCAGGAGCAACGAGCACATATATCATCAATCAAGCAAACGCAGAAGCAAGCGGGATGCATAGCGCTGATCCTAGGGGCCCGGTCTTAAATTCTTATTTGGCGGCTTAAGATTTTTAATATGATAATATGAAGGGACGGGGGGGTAGCGGTGGGCAGATCCCCCTACTCAGACACATACATACGGCGGAGGATGTTAAACAAGTCCTAGTTTCACACAGACACACACATACACTATATACAACCCATACACGCTCACAGCACAACCTTATGCATGTATGTGCGTTGTGTTGCGTGCGTCGATGATATATATAAGTCCACTCGGGGAAGCCTTCTGGGTTCCATAACGCACTTGCTTGGGCCTTAGGAGGGAGACTTTACATACTCCAAGACTTTTGGAATATATTGGGATGAATTCGGTTCGTAGACTGGTTGGGACGGCTGTCGGTGAGTATTCTATACAGGTAAGGTATGATGTAGGGAAGGATGAACTGGGGGGGGGGGGGAGGGGGCGGAGGTGGAAGGGAAGGGGGGGGGGGAGTGTACTCACTTACTTACTCAACTCACCTGGTTACTCGTTCACTGAGTGCGGTGCGTCGGTTGCCCTCGTTTCTGCTTAGCTGCTCCATGAGCTAGGTACTCTACGGTGAAGAAGAAATTCGGAACTGGGGGAGGGAGGGATAGTCGGAGAGAGAGAGAGAGTGAGTGAGGGTGAGAGTGAAGAAGCTAGGAAAGTCTACAAGGAAGACAAGGGAACGGAAGGGAAGAGAAGGGGAGGGCTGTAGAAGGAAACTAGGATTATTAACCGAAAGAACTGAAAGAGGTTTACTCTGTCTATCTATGTAATGTATGTAGGCGCGCCCTGACCAACCCTCGCTGTTTGGCCCATATATCTTGATAGAGAATTGATTGGGCTGATAGATACAGATACATGTCCTGTTGAGTAGTAGAGTACGTCGTCTCTTAGGCCACCGCAACCACCACCTAGCTACACTGCCTAGCTAACCACAACTCTTCTCTTTCTCTCTCAACACCACAATCAGTAACCAGCAGCGCAGCTCTTCTCCACCTCCGCCTCCACCACAACCTCCACAAAGCCCACCAGTACTCCACACCAGCTCATCAGTCAGCAAAGCACACACCCGTCCGCGACCCTGGGAAACAATAGGCTGATTCCCACATCTTAAACGAACAAACTAAACCAACATTGAACAAACCCACTTTCTACATAATCTATAATTACACCCAGGGCCTGGTTTTCTCTCTTTTTTTTTTGCCTTTCATTTCACTGATTTCGTTTTATCTTGCGCCATTGCACCTTGATGGCGTACCATACCACAGCTGCACCTGCTGTACATTGCACCGTACCACTCCATTCCCCATTTGGGCGTGAGAGTGCAAAGAGAGGTAGGTATGTAGGTACCTACATGGCCTTTTTTTCTTTTCTTCCCTCAAATATTGCGGTACCTTAGATAATAATAAGCTGCCCTCTCCACCCCCCCCCCCCCCTTTCTCCCCTCCTTCTCGCTCTTACCCCCGGTCGATCACCTGCAACCGACGCGGCTTAGCGGAGCGGATGCGGCATTTCGGACAAACTTCGGTAACCTCGGCGAAAATATTTTCCTCTTCCTGCTCTTTTCTTTTCTTCTTGTGTTCTGTGTGTGCTGAGATTTGTATGGTGTGTGTGAAGTGTGTGTGAGACGTGAACGTGAGTGAGTGTGTGTGATAGAGGACCCTCGCTCGCTGCAACTGGCAACACCTCTCGTCTGTGATCGAATCACATGAAAGAATTGGGCTGGCTTTACTTCTAGTTTCTTTTTTCACTTTTATTCCTTACTTTTCTGGTGGTCGTGGTTTTATTTTGGTAGCGAGGGGAGCAGCAGGGAGCCAGTTATAAATTTTCCCGAAATTGGATGCGCTGCGCTGACGTTTAGTTGGTTGGTCCGTTGAGTTTGGGCCATAGCAAGGTGAAGGGGGGGTGGGGTGTTGAAGGGTCGAGGCTCCTTCGCGACGACGACGACATGGGCCCTGGCTTTGAGAGGTAGTGATAGATAGAACGGGTTTAGTCACTGTGCCCTATCTACATACCTTTTCGCGCTACATACATGGAAAAAAACACTCTACTACACCTACTTTCTCTACTCACACTCTACAAACCTAGGTACCGCTCATACTCTACTTAACCTCCAGGCACCCCTCCACCGGTATCGGTACCCTCCCCCCTCCACTTCCCTCCCTCGAGCCACTTTCACCGCACTGCACCGCCCTGATGCAGCGCGCGCATACATAAATCCCTCTCTGCTTGCTCCAGCGAGAAACGAAAAAGCGCCATCATGTGCGGTGCCTATATCTGGTTGGCCCAATCGCATTGCACGTTTCCCTCCCCTTACCCCACCTACATACTTCAGGTAAAATACCAGTCTGGCCATATACATATCTTTCGCGCAGTGATGTGATGGGGTATAGATAGGTAGTATAGATAGATAGATAGAGAGGGTGATGGAATTAATAGATAGCTACATATCTTCTTACCCTATTATTCGGGTGTTGTTCCCGGATTAGTCTTCAAGACGAAATGCACATAATATCGGCGTCGCGGTTACGGAATAATTATATTCGTTGAATACACAAACAGGCGCCGCGCCGGCGCTGTGCTGGTTGCTTGCTTGCTTGCTCATGTGTTGTGCTGCTGCTGATGGGCAGAGATAGAGATAGCTGGTACTAGTAAGCAAAAGTCAACAGCTAACAACTGGTGCGGGGTCGGGATACTGGTAATATTCATGCACAAAATATCACTCGGCCCATGCAATGACATCTGGATTGGGAAAGTGGCAATCAGGAATGGTGCTATGGGAAAAAACTAGTTTCCCTCTCTCTGCTCTGTGTTTCGGTGGTGGTGCGGCGGTGTTGGATGAACGTCCTTCTCTCAATGGAGGGTCTGGCTGGGCTGCAGGAAGAGAGCTGTGCTGGGCAATCAACCCAGAGACTACATGTAACCAACCAGTTACCAACGTTAATCCACCTACCACCACCATGCAACCATGATCTACATTCAACGAACCAAACGAACCACCAAGCTGTGCCCTGCGTAATACATACATAAACATATCCTGTCTTGTCGCTTTTTGGGTTTTATTTTTTATTCACCGCTTGCACGGCGAAACTAAATTTTCTTTTCTTAAATCAGATTCCCGGCCGCTGCACCAGGTCCAAAGTAGAAAGATATATTGGTCCACTCCCATTCTAATTCCTAATTGAAGTCTTTTTTATCCCCCAAGCTTGTTGGTCAGAGAGAAAGGAAGGAAAAGAAAAGAAAAGAAAAAAATCAGGAAAGATTCGGAACGACCGTTTCCCTTACTATATGTACTCTCGTGTACGGCTCTCATTGGCTGCTAGACTACATACATGAATGATACTGCAACCCTCACAGTCTTTCTCGCTCAAACCTTTCTCTCCGACCCCACCACAACCACCACCCCCCTTCCACCCTCTACTAGTATGAGCTATCATTCAATCTATCATACTTGCGTACCTACAGCCCCCATGTAGTTTACAACCTAATCACGAAACCCTCCGTCAAGGGTAAACTTGTAGCGACCACCAGGACCTTTGTCTCCGCGTCGTACGTGACATCACCCCCGTCGAGCACCCTATCATTGACCGTGACCTTTCTCGGCTTCTTGTCAATGCCCAGGAACTTGAC